AGACCAAGCTAAATCCAAAAATGCAAGGGAATTCCTGGAAGCTTGGTATTCAGACAAGTCAACCATCAACAAGCACATAAAGATAAACAACATCTACATACTATTCATAAAAGGAAACAAAAAAGACCAGAACATCTTGCCAGCAATCATCACCCAGATAAGCAGAGATTAACACTAAGATTAACACCAGACAAACAATCAAGTGGTAAACAATACCCTAATCAAGGAACTACCAAGAAACACAAACCCCCACCCCCACCAACACTGGCAGGGCAAGCCACTGTATATAAACAGAGAGTAAACCCCGTTCCATTCTAGCACTGAAGATGTTACCTAGCCAGGTAACAAGAGTATGCAAGAAAACAACCAAGCTTAGAGAACCCCAAGAACCCCATAGTTCAACCCTGAGCTACGTATATTCTCTTCTAATGTGAGGAGCAATAGGACTCAGACTGCTCCATTGCCAGGCGAGGCAGAGGTGGCTCCCTGGGTGAAGGGGGCAGCTGTGCAGGAGGCGTTGTTGAGGGTGGCGGTGGAACTGGAGGAAGCAGAGATATGAGCGCAGGCACAGCGTGCACTCTGCAGCTCATGTTGGAAACTGCTGGCCCTTGCAGGAGGAAGGCTGAAGATTGCAGCCTCCAATGCGCGCTGTAAACTCCAATGCAAACCTTCAACCTCCCAGAGCAAAGGGGGCTCCCTGGGCAAAGGGGGCAGCTGTGAGGGAGCCACTGTCACCTTTCCTGCCTTATCCAGCGACGGAGTGTGCGCCCCATTGGTTTGTCCCTTCGCCCAGGGAGCCACTGCCGGCTCTCTTCCCTCACCCGGTAAACCAACCCTTCCCAGGAACTTCAACTCCAACGCAAACCTCCAACTTCCCAGAAAGCAGGAGAAAATGGGAAAGGGTTAGTTTCAGTGTGCCAGAAACTAACCCTTTCCTGCCATCTCCTGACCTCCAGGTCCATCTTGTTCATAGCAGCGAAAGTTCGTAACTCGAAAGTTCATAAGTAGGGGAGTGTCTGTACAGATAGCCTTTAATGGCCAAATACAAATTAATCCTCAATGTTATTTCTGAAGAACTGCTATTCAATGGCATACTGGTGCTACCTGGAGAATCACATATCACATTGCATAGAGCAGTGTTTCTTGAAGTGTGGTCCTAGGACCCCTGGGAGTTCCCCCAAGACCCTCTCAGGGGTCGTCAAAATCAAAATTATTTGCCAGCCTATGTTGAAAAATAATACAATATTAAAATTCCATCAAACAATTGTGAGAAGCAGTAACAGCAGCAAATGCATCAATTTTAATTTTTAATACTATAAACATTGATAAATCTAATCATAGAAACAAAAGATCTTTTGGGCTCCTCCATAATTTTTAAAAGTGAGAAGGGGTCCTGAGAGAAAAAAGTTCAAAAAACATTGGCATAGAGTAATCTATGTTTATCCTCCACAAGACATGTTTTATGCTTTTTTAACTTGTTATCTACAGGTGATCCCAGAGCAAGGTACACAAGATTCTAAAACAAATATCCTGCAATAATAAGAAAAAGAGGCATAGAAAAGCAATAAGCAATCTATAAGCAATCTGTTTACAATGAAACTTTAAAGTTAACATTTTAAAATTCTTGGGATGGAGCATTTGACTTGGTACTGAAAAGAAAGTAAAGTTGGGGACAATCATATCACACTTGGGAATGTACCATCATAAAGAAGTTTAAGTTATAAATGTCTAAAGAACATTGGAAGCTCCTGCAATGTGCTCCTATTATCAGTTACCATTCATGTGTAGTTAGAGTTCATGGGATGCAATGTCATATTGTTCCTGTGTGTGCCGTGTTTTCTTTGGCATGCATACTGTAAAATGTAAAAGTGCACAAGCACTTTTGTGCCTGTGCGTTACAAGTTAGAGCTACCACGCTATTGAGCTTTCAGGTTAGTAAATGCAAAAACCATGTTGCTTTGCTTGCTTATTGAACTTTGCAACCACATTACAAAGTGCAGAAAGTGTCCATGTACATTAAAAAGATGCACGAAACCAATAGCAGAGAGGGACATCTCATGCTAGTGTTATTCATGAGCTATTTGATGAAGTGGCTTCATTGCTGTTTCTTCTTTGCCGGGCTCAGTTCTGTGGCTGACTATACAGGTACCGGCTATAAAAGTGTGTCTGTTTGTTGTTTCTGTTGACTGCTGTGGGAATTTCTTGGTCCATCTTATTTACATCCTACAACTGCCCTTAAAACATGGCTTTGTCAACCAGCTTGGGGTAGAGTAGACCCAGTTAGATGGTTATATGACAGTAAATGGGACACACTCTGTTTTTCTGCCATTTTGCCTTTTGGTTTGTTTTTATCTTGTTTTTATTTTAATTTAAATTGGTTATTTTAATGGTTTTTATACATTCTTGATTATTTTTTATGTGCACCACCCGGAGTCACTAAGTGAGATGGGTGGCTATACAAATGTGATTAAATAAATAACCTCATCTAATTATCTGATGTCATATAGTAATTCTGAAAAACAGTGGCCAATCCACTGGCTGATCTTCTACGACTGGTAAATGTGGAAATCGTGCCTTTGCCCTGACTTTGGTGACTGACACGGTCAAATATTGCTGCCTGCTTGGACGCTCCGTGGCTGTGTGGCCTGCGTGTACTTAAACGTTCTCCGTGTGGCTGTGCCTCCTCTGTGGGACACGCTAATCCTTATTTCTGGACTGAGATTTAGAAGACGAACCGAAAGAATCAACCGAAGAAAGTGCGGGTTGGCTTGGGGAGCCCGAGCAGGCCCTCCCGCGTCCCTCGCGGTGCTTTTCTGGGCATCGCTGGCTCACCTCATCCTTCCTCCTTCCGGAGGCAGCGACGGGAATGATTTGCTGCAAATGACATCAGCTGTCTGTGGCGGCTGCTGGCAAAGCGGCAGCGGGAGC